GGGATGGGAGCGGTGCTGCGGACTGGTGTGTTGAGTCACAAGTGGGCGGAAGAGGGTCTCACCCACTCTGCACCTGGGCTGGGACTGGCAGGTCCCGCAGGTGCAGGGTAACCAGAAGCTCTCCCACATAATCACCAGGCCTGGGCTAGGACTGGGGGCAGCCAATATTTTGACCCTATCCTTTCAAGGTCACTGAGGGCTCAGGACATAAAAGAACCTCTGCTGAGATATCCTGTAACTTGATGGTGTCTGAAGTTTTTTGATAAAGAAGATATACAGACACAGAGGAAAGTAATCAATAATGTATAATGTGCCTAAGGAGACTCACCTGGATGAAAAAAACCTCTGAGTCACTCACAAAGAGGAAATTGTTCAAGCAATGGCCATGACTCATCCAGATGGCGGACAGAAGATCTAAGGGATGCTATACATGGTTCCAAGTAAATCCTGAGGAACATTAACTGTCCTTGTCAGATAGCACAAGCTCCATTTGTGGTTATACAGCTCTTGCTTTAACTTGGTCTTAATCATCCAGCAGAAAAGTGTAACCACAGGTATGAAAAGTAATACCATATTAATATGTTGTGGTATAAAAGATTCATGTCAACAACTTCTGACAATTATGAGCTGTGCTGATGACTTACTACTGTTATGGACTCTTGGACTATATAGGGTTACATTGCTGAATTCAAGTACCTACAATCTGGCATCAAGTGTAAAAATGTCCTTTAAAGACTTCTCCAAATACAGCTTCTCTAACTGTAAAGGAACACCTATCTTTGACAAAACAACACAAAAAAAGGGGGATATGTTGAGAACCAAAATCTAGGAAATAGATCACGTATGTATAGGTGGGACTGGGCCTCAGTGCCTAAAACAAACAAGCTACCTCAGTCCTGAGAAAAACATCCTGTCTTGTTCAAGCCAGCTATTAGTTGCTAGGCAACCTTATGACATGTGTTACAAACTTTGCAAAAGTATAAATAAAGAATTGTCCGTTGTGAGTTGAGTTAAACTTGCCCATCAGGCAGACTAGTGACCACCTAGCCCAGCTTTTGTCTTCTCATCTATCTTTCTTATTCCTGCTTTCATGTCTCCCCAGGTAGAACCATTCACAGTAAGACCAATTGATCTTTACAAAGATCAATTAATTTCAATACAATGTAGATTAGTAGTTAAATTTCCTTTTAAGAAAAATAGACTCTCAACTCAGTCTGAAGATTCCAAGTGGATTATGAAAAGGTCTAACAGGAATCAGTAAAGAGGAGAAATGATACTCAAGACATACTCAGTGATGTAAGAACAAGGTGAAGCAAGTATGAAACAAAAATGGCTTTAAGAAAAATGGAAAAGCTCAGTGTCAGCTCAGGAATTGGTCTTATAGTTGCTAGGCAACAGGGAGGCAGAGAAGGCCTGCACATAGAAAGTTAGATTTCGTAAGAGCCTTGCCACTTAGTATGGTATGATGTGTCATGAATGTCAGTACCTCCTCTTAAGAGTCTGCTAGGAGAATCTGGCTCCCCTTTAGACCCACAGAAGCAGGCTCTGTATTTTATCTGACCCCAGGTGATGAGTATACACAGTGGTGTTTGAGAAAGATACTTCAGCTGATCTGCATGAGGAGTGCTGGAGTGCTGTGCAGTATTTTGTATCATTTGTGATTCTCTAATGAGGATACTTAACACAGCTACAGAGCACTTAAAAAAAAAACACTGATATGTTCTGTAGTAGGTCTTGTACCCTAGAAATCTAACTTAGCCCTTTATGTGTGTGATTATGATCTTATATTTGTTTAAGCTTTAAGCATCTTGTAATTTTCCTATTTGTTCTTTCTTAGCATAGAGACTTGCATTTGGAGGTATGGGTAAGAGTGGAAGGAAGACAAAGATAGAGCAGGAAAGCCATGAAAGGTGTGTGTGTGACCCTTTCAAATATGGAACCCAGGGCTTTCTGAAGTGAGAGACCAAAGAAGTGGCCATTAGAACATTGGTTGAATTGAATAAATTACTTTACTGAACAGGCTACTGAATGTACTGAGATAACAGGACATGTGCTTATCTAAAGTCAGTTCAAAACACTAAAAGGGCAAAGACTAAAATTTCAATGGATAAATAAGATCTGGTATTCTTATACTTGGAGTTTTACTCAGCTATAAAACAAGGATAAACCTGAAGTTTTTATAGGTAAATGATGAAACTAGACACTATACTCATAAGTGAAGTAAATTAGACCCACAACTATAAACATCATATTTTCTCCCTAGTGTAAGAACCTAAAAGAGCAAATAAAATCTGAAAGGTACAATACATACTGTGAAAGGGAATAATCTTTTCAAATAGAAGGAACACTGAGATGAGGGAAAGGAGAAAAGAAAGAAGAGAACATGAAATATATATGTATATACACAGAGTAGCTTGGATAATTGTACTGCTGATTTCTGCTGGTCTATTGAAAAAAACAGTTAATACTTAATTTTTGTGTTTCTTTTTCTCTCCTGTTTAATTTTTTATAATTTTTGCCCAATTTTACATTCTTCTATCTGGTAATATGAAAAACTAATTTGAAGGCAACAATATGCAATATAATAATTACTGCTGGATTCCTATCATTTTGGTTAATATTGTTCCTAAGTATTTTTTACTATTGTTTACTCTCTTTAAGAATAAGAAAAAATTCAATTCTTAGATCTCAATTAGAAATATTATGAACATAGGCATTTAAAAATACAAACAAAGAAGAACCACAATCATATAGATGTATAATTTTATGTTTCTCTATATTGGAAATACAGAGAGACAATGGACTGCTGTTCAGTTGTAGAGTGTGCATAGCATGTGAGCCACTGGTTGCATCCTCAACATGAGATATACAAATAGTATGTATATTTACATATTTTATACCTACATGTACACAGAAAAACACATAAAATGTAAACACATAAAATGCATTTTCGGTCGATATATTTATGAGTGAAACATAGAAATCTATTTCCATATGTCATATACAGATATATATAAATCCACTCCTAGAGTATATTTCTTACGTTTGTCTACTATGGGTCAAGAAGCAATGATCTTCCAGGAATTCATACAGTTCACTCATGCAATTAAGGCCAAGCCATGTCACTGAGTGGGTGACCTATGTCTATCTCTAAGGAGATTTGAACACAGACAAACACATAGAGGGATAAAATAGCCATCCACAAATCAGCAGGAGAGGACTAAGAAGAAACAACCCTATGGACATTTTGATCTCAGATTTCCAGATTCCAGAACCATAAGAAAATTAATTTCTATTGCTAATCTATAAACTATGATATTTTGTATGACAGTACACTACCCAATCTTCACTCTCCTGAGCTCTGGCCCTATGAAATCTTTGATATCTTACATACAGAAGGCAGGCTTAGTCCTAAAGACACTGGTTGTTTCTTCCAACCAGAATTTCTTCCTGCCGGATTCAGCCTGGTCTTACTCACTGTCCTGTTTGTAACTCACATGCCACAGTCTTGAGGTTTTTCTCTGACCTTTTTGCTATTCAAATCAGCCCTCAAGGGGACGGGGAAATGGCTCAGTAGATTAAGCACTTGCCTGGAAAGCATAAGGGCCTGAGTTCAATCCCCGGTTCAACTAACTAACTAACTAAATAAATAAATAAATAAAAGCAGCCCTTAAGACCTCCATAGTTGCCCCTCCCTTCCTGTGTTTCTCTTTCATCTTTCTTTCTTTCTTTCTTTCTTTTTTTTTTCTTTCCATTTATGTATTTGGAACAGGATCTCACTACACAGCTCAGACTTATCCTCCTGTATTCACATTCCCAGAGCTCAGAATACAAGCATGGGCCACCATGCCCTGACACCCTCAGTGGTTCAGCATGTCCCAGGGGCACAGCCTGTGCAGCATGACCTTGCCAAAGCAGGAATTTAGTCTGCTGAGCTATCTTACTGGCCCTCTTTCAACTTTCTTGATATCACTGATATATTGATTAACTGTTCCCCTCTTAACAAAATAGGAAGAAAGTTTGCATCCCTGGCACCAAAAACATGTTACACAGAAAAAGTGGCTAGATATTAAACAAATAAATAAACAGTAGTTCCCATAGCAGTTACCTTTTCAGGAGTAAAAGGATGCTGTGTGCTGTGCTAGAGTCTAAGCCATTGGTGGGCTCATCCAGGAACAAGATGGAAGGATCAGTGATCAGCTCCATGGCGATACTGGTCCTTTTCCTTTCTGCTCCAGACAGGCCATGGAGAAGGTCACCTCTAACCTAGAATAAAACAGTATGAATCTGAAGAGGAATGACCATAGCCACTGTCATTTGGTGAGGAATTTTGTGGCAGCCTCATAGAAGATTCGCTTATTATTCTCGATTTTCAGAACAGCTAGTGAGGGGACATCTGGGACACAGAAAAGGATTCCGTTTCAGCACATGGGCAAATTCAGGCTTAGGACAGAGCTGAAAAGTAGCTGAGAACTGATATGAAGCTTATATATTTCATAGCTCAATAAACACCTTATCAAGTCACATACTTACTTGTTAGGAACTAAGTTATAATATAACATGACAGAGTGAAGCCAGAGTTTGAAAAATGGGTGATAAGAGGCAAACATAGTGGCATACTCATAATTCAGGCATGCTGGGAGTCTGAGGCAGAAAGATGACAAGTTCAAAGCCAGCTTTAACAACTTAAGACCCTTTCCCAAAACTTTAAAACAATGAAAAAGAGGCTGGGTTCACCCGCTACTATGACAAATGAATGAATTTTTTAAAAAAGTAATAAAAGAACATCAAATCAGAAGAAAATGGAAAGTAGACATAGAAATTTGTTTTGTTAGGGCTGGCCAAATAGCTCAGTGGATTAAAGCACCTGGGGTTCAATCCCCACGCCTGCTGTGCTGGCTCCACCCCCAGCATGCTGAGAGGGTGATTTAGACTAGGTTTGGTGGTGCACCCTTGCAATCCCAGCACTTGGGAGGCTGTAAATGGGCAGATCACTATGAGTCCAACCTAGTAGTGAGACCCTGAACATGCTGTAGACTCTTCCCTAAAGTACAGAAATAAATAAATAAATAAATAAAAGAAAGAAAATAAATTTGTTTTGTTGTTTACCCAGCCACTCTTTTTACTTTTTCAACCAAAAGTTCCCAGGTAGAATTACAAGGTGAAAGTAGACCTGTATCCAGGAAAGTTCACTTTCAACCAGATTGTATTTGCAGTTTTTTAATTTCTTAAAAACACTTTTCCAATTGACACTGCCTATGACCTAAGTCATCACAGAATTTCTTATCAATCTGTTTAAACACCTGTAGAAAGTAGACTATGTCACAGAGTACCTGTCTCAGTATTTTCAACCAATTAATGTCATTTTATCAGATGAGAAGAGTAGGACATTTTTAGGGAGGCAGGCAGTGTGAAACTATGAGTCTCTAAGAAGAGAATAATCACATACTATTCATACCTCTCAGTAGGGACCTAATAACAACTGAGCTACATTTGGAGACAATTTGGGCATGTCAGTGAATGTGGTCTTAACAAACATATTTTTTTCTTCAATTGATAATGCTCTATATACTGAGGGATGAAATATTATGTAATTTTCTTTAAATTACATCAATAAGAAAGAACTGAGGTTGTCATATGACACAGCATTAAGAACTGAGAAAAAATTTGAACAATATTAGCAATTATACATTTATATTGAATCCCTTTTATATTATCAATAAAGCATTCAGATTATTTACTCTGAATTCCTATAATGTTCAAAATATCATAAAAAGTAAAAATTATAATTTTTACTCAATTATATGAATTCTAAAGTAACAATAATTTCTTTCAATGTTCATTCTTTAAAAATCCTAGAGAGTAATACAGAACAATAAATACTTCAAAAACAGTAAAAGTACAGAAAAGACAAAATCAGTTAAAATAACCAGACATACAGGAAATAAAAATTAATCATTCATAATGAAAACATAACGGTACATGTTAGAATCACAGGGTTATTCTTAAACCCAGGTCACATAAAGGCAGTGAATGAGCATCCAGGGAAGCAGCAGCCAGTAACACCCTTGTTCATCTTTGCCTCTAAGGAGGAGATGTCATAGTGGGTTAAAGCACAGCCATTATCATCTAAAAAGCTTACTTTTCACTAAAGCTTTAGATGTCTACTCAGCAAACCTTTTATATGGAATTGTCAGCTAGAAACAACTAATTCCTCTAATTTTCCTTTATAATCTTGCATACTGCTTAAAATAAGAATTTTCTTTGTCCTCTCCTTCTCTTGCCTCTAAAACTTGAAAGAGAACATGGTATACAATAGTCTGGAAATACTCCCAGAACTAAGAGAAAAAAAGATAAAGGTGGATAGGAATGAGATAAAACTAAAAAAAAATCAAAAGAATAATAATCAGAGTATAGGTCTGGGTAGATAGCTTGGTGATCTAAGCATCTACCTGACAAGCACAAGGACCTGGGATCAA